GGCCAAGGATGATGTGTCACTTGCACAGGCATACTCTATGGTGAGCAGTGAAGAGTGCAGGTGACAAGTATAGCTACAGACCCCACCTCCTCTAGAACATTTTGCACATGCTGGAATAAAACCAAAGGGGCTGAATGAGAAAAAGGAAGTGATATGTGAATACTGTAAGAAGCCGAAACATACTAAGGATTCTTGTTGGAAGCTTCATCCAAATATTCTTCCTGAGAGGTTTTGGAACAACAACAACTCTAAGAAGGGTGGTTAGTTTGGAAAATCTAAGAATGCAAATGTTGCCATAGTGTTTGAATGTAAAGAAAAATATGTTGTGGAATAGTTGGTAGTAGTGAAGGTAGAATTTGAGAGATATGGGAAATTGATAAATCACTTGGACTGTTGCATCTTCCTCCTCAGGCACCCCCTCTACATTCGGTTTTTCCCATTCAGGTATTTGTGCTTCTACAATTCATGCTACAGTCTCAGGTAATCGCTGAATTCCTTAGATTATAGATTTTGGTGCATTAAACCATATGACTAGCCTACCCAACCTCTTTTGCTCATACCAGCTCCTCTCAAGTAGAGAGAAGATTTCTCTTGCCGATGGGTCTCTTGCTCCCATATCTGGCAAGGGGAATATTAAAGCCTCTGATTCACTTGTTTTATCCTCTGTCCTTCATGTTCCCAAAGTTAGCACTAACCTTTTATCTATTAGTAGTTTAACCAAATCATTGAACTACAACATAACTTTCTTTCCTACTTATTGTGTTTTTCAAGACCTGAAGTCTCAGAAGACGATTGGGAGTGGCCATGAGGCGAATGTGATATACTTGCTGGATATCTCTGATCAAAATCCTGAACTACCTGGTGGAGTTTCTTTGGAGTCTGTTTTATCAGAGTCAGTTAATAGAGTCATGATATGTTATTTCAGATTTGGTCATTTGTCTTTTTTAGCTTTGAGTCATTTGCTTCTAGAAATGTTTAAGGGAATATCCCTATCGAGTCTTCATTGTGAGTCATGTGAGCTTGCTAAACATTGTAGACAAATTTTTCCAGTGAGTAATAAAAGATATGTTTATCCTTTCCATATTGTGCACTCTGATGTGCGGGGGCCATATCATTTACCTGCTATGGGGGCTACAAATATTTCATTCTTTTTATTGATGATTTCTCTCGTTACACATGGATTTACCTTCTGAAATCCCAGGATGAAGTACCAAATATTGTACAAAAGTTTCATGAACTTATTCTTACCCAGTTTAACACTCGGATCAAATATTCCGATCTGATAATGCAAAAGAATATTTTGAGAAGAGTCTCGCCTCCTACTTTGATACCTTTGGAGTTATTCATCAGAGTTCCTGTTCCTAGACTCAACAAAATGGAGTGGCGAAAAGGGAAAACATACATGTGGTTGAGGTTGTGAGGAGCCTTCATTTTTCTTCCCATGTTCCTGTTAAATTTGGGGGTGATGCTGTTCTTACAGCTGCATACTTGATAAACCGAATACCTTCTCAGGTTCTGGGGTTTAAAACTCCCTTTAGCTTGCTTTTTCCAAATGAAGTTATGTTTTCTCTTCCTCTCCGGGTGTGTGGGTGCACTTTCTATATCCATGTACACAAGTGTATCTTTTTGGGATATGCCTCCACACAGAAGGGGTACTGTTGTTTTGATCCAGTTCGTGGCACTCGCTTTGTTTGTAGAGATGTCACATTTGCAGAGTCAGTCCCTTTCTTTGGTACTTCTGTTGAGGGGGAACATTCGAACGAGTTGTTTGCATTGTCACCATCTATTCCTCTTCCAGTTCCCATTAAATCTTCCATAGAGTCTAATCTAGTTGAGTCATCTATCCCTGCTCCCCCTCCTCCTCCTACTCACCCCCTTCTTTTCTTTCCCATCCTATTATCTAGAGGTGGTACGTGAGACAGACTCAGAGACATGCAAGTTGTTTCCACGCCTTCAAATGTGCCTCTTGCTCCTTCTATCACTATTGAGATAACAAGTCAGCCATTTTCTACCACTTCAAATACCTTCCCTGACCTTGATCTCCCTATTGCCCTTCGTAAAGGCAAATGGAAATGCACAAATCATTGTATTTCCAAACACCTATCCTACAACCTCCTTTCCCCTTTCTACTATTCCTTCATTACCTCTATTTCCACACATGTAACTCCTCGGTTTGTCCAGATGCCTTATCCAAACCAGAATGGAGAGATGCTATGATGACTAAACTAGATCTTTGCATAAGAACAATACGTAGAAAATTGTGGATTTTCCTGAGGGTACTGTTGAGATATATAAGGCCCATTTGGTTGCTAAAGGATATATTCAGATGTATGGTATTGACTACTTAGAAACTTTTGCCCCAATAGCCAAGATGACTTATGTTCGGGTTTTGCTATCTTTAGTTACTGCTTTTGACTAGCCTCTTCATCAGTTTGATGTAAAGAATGCCTTTTTGAATGGGCACCTAAATGAAAAAGTCTATATGTCTTTACCTCTAGGGGTGTACGGGAAAGAGATGTAAGGAAAGGTCTGTAAACTGAAGAAGTCTCTTTATGGCCTTAAGCAATCTCCTAGAGCTTGGTTTGATAGATTTCGGGCTGCTCTTGTTGCTTTTGGATACACATAGACTTAGTCGGATCATACTTTGTTTGTTAAGAGGAGAGATTCCTTAGTGACCCTCCTAAATGTCTGTGTTGATGATATTGTGGTTACAGGAAATGATAGTCAGTATGTTGTTCATCTCAAGAGTTTTCTTAACACTGAGTTTGAAATTAAAGACTTGAGAGAACTCAAATATTTCTTTGGAATTGAAGTTGCTAGATATAAGGATAGTATCTTCATTTCTCAATGGAAGTATGTTCTTGATTTCCTTGTAGAGAGTAGGAAACTGGGGGCTCGACCTGCTTCTACTCCTATTAATCTAAATCATTTGTCAATGACTGAAGGTGAACTGTAGCCTGATAAGGGGGTGTTCCAGAGACTGGTTAGAAGTTACTTTACCTTTGCATGACTCGACTAGATACCTCCTATGCAGTTAGTGTAATCAACCAGTTTATGCATTCTCCTAGAGATACACATTTAGCAGCTATTGAGAGAGTTTTGTGCTATTTGAAAGGGAGTCCTGGGGTATCTTGTTTGCTAAGCATAGACACATGAAGCTAGAAGCATACACTGATGCTGACTGGGCCGGATGTATTGATGATAGGAGGTGTACTTCGGGTTACTGTGCTATGGTAGCAGGGAACATTGTATCATGGAGGAGTAAGAAGCAGTCTGTAGTGGCAAGATCTTTAACTGAAGCGGAATACAGGGCAATGGCACATGGAGTTTCTGAACTTCTGTGGTTGAGATCATTTTTAGATGAATTGGGTATAGATTGTGAGAAGCCAATGATGTTATATTGTGACAACCAGACTGTTATCAACATTGCACACAATCCTGTTCAACATGACAGAACTAAACACATTGAGGTTGACATGAATTTTATACGAGAGAGAGTTGCCTCAAGAGAAGTTTGTCTGCCATTTGTTGCTTCTAAAGAACAATTGGCTAATGTTTTGACAAAAGGTGCTCCTAATGGAAATCTGGTTCATTATATTAGCAAGCTGGGCATGATGGATATCTATGCTCAGCTTGAGGGGGAGTGTAGAGAGACTGGGCCAAATGGGCCCTAACCCATCAGTGTCTTTCTTATTAGTTCTTTCATGTTATGTTTTCTTATTGGACCTTTTCTTTATGGGCCTTTAGTTCTTTTTATGTTTTTCTAAGTTTAGTGCTGATGTGGGTGCCTACATAAGGGCCTCCTTGTAATTTATGTAACTTAAGTATGTTTTATAAAAGATAAGAGTAGGGGAAAGAGGGGACATTCAAACTTCTCCTTTCTTCTCCAATCTTCCTCCTTGTTGTTGTCTCCTTCTTCTTCTCTGATTTCTTTTACTTTATTCTGAAATATTCTATTGATTTTATTATTTTTGAATCACATATGGGAGTTTTTGGTTAATTTTCTCTTAAGTATTCAATGAAGAGTTGTTTTTCCTATTTATTTTGGTTTTGATTCTTTTCTTTGAAGCTTCTTTGAACGTGGTTTGTTTTCTATACTGCGCCACATATCCCACATGTGTATACATTTGCTAATATATATAAAGAAACATACATTAAGAGATTAGAACACGAATGTGGAGTCCCACTATTGTCTTATAATCAAGGTTGTGTTTGGTACCATTAATTGTGGTTTCTTGATGAAACATTTGGGGTTGATGAATTGAAATTGGTGTTAAAATATGAGTTGTCATGTCACATAATCAGAAACGTTTTGGATTGATCAATACAAATTGTTGTTGTTACTTACAATATCAAATTTGATGTTCAACTCTAAACAACAACGATCAGTCTCCGCATGCATCTTTTTAAGTTGAATTGGCACCCTTATGTAACGTGACAACTCATCTTTGTCATCAATTTTTATTAATGTTGACCCCAAATGTTTCATGAAGAAACTGCAATGATACCAAATACCCCCTAATCTAACTCTACAAATATTTCAATAACGTTTCAGTTAGGGGTGCAACTTTTGTAGATTAGGGTTGGGAATTTGTCAGAATTTCAATGGACCCAACCCGAAGTCTGAGTCCGAAATAGTGTAAATTGTGGACTCAGGCCGACCTGACTTGCACCCCTTGTTTCAGTAAGTAATCACACAAGCAATATATCGAAAAAGAATTAAAATCAATTAATCTTTTCTACCTCAGGTTACATATTAACTGATTTAACCCCAATCACTTTTACAACATTGATTTACAGCAAAACAATGACCCTTCACAGATCCCTACCCTTCGCTCTACTTCTAAAATAGAGAAGCATAAACTTCCTTGAAACTAGGGGAAAATGTATAATATTGAACAACCACATTAGCCGTCAATATCCTCAACTTCCAAAAAAGATCAACAACCCCAGTACCAACCCTCTTCCCTCTTTCGATCTCCCCTCCCCATTTCAACCATTCATAGAGAAAGTTCAATCTCAGCCATCAATGATCTTGTGGAAGGCATCTCCCCTTCGCTAATTAAGGAGTAGAAGTCATCGTCATTGTCCCTTTCTTTTAACTCTTCGATCCTCTCAACTGCTTCCTTTATATCCCACCTCTTATCCGTATCAGCCTCACAACAACACAACCCAATGTTCAATAGCTTTAACACTTCTCCTTCAGCGTTCTTTGTCCCTTCCATCTGTTTGTCAAAAATTTCCACTGCGCGTTCTTCTCTAATAGCAGAACTGACCCAACATGCCAAATCTTCATCGCTTCCCTTATTACCCTGCTTGGAAATGCTGGCAGCAGGGAACTTACCCGTCAGTATCTCCAATATCAGTATGCCAAGACACCAAACATCACTCTTCTTTGTTGTGCGTCCACACTGCGCATACTCGGGTGACTTGTATGCCACCATGAGATGAACAGCGTGCTCTTGGTTGATTACTGGTAATAGGCCATAATCTGTTAGGAGGGGTTCAAGAGACTCGTTTAGTATCACATTGGAGGACTTGAGGTGACCATGTGGAAGAGTTAGGTTAGGTAGCTCATCGTAGAGAAAAGCCAGGCCCTTGGCTACTCCTTTGATGATGTTCAAGCGGGTCGGCCAATCGAGCCGCAGCTCGCCTGTAGTTTGTTTTCCTGGATACATGAGACCATGAAAAATAATTAGGCATGAATCAATGAACCAGGTAATCAAGATCAATGCTTGCTGCATGCATTTATATGCATATCAGTAACATAAGCATGGAGATGACCATATATTAGGGGTATTCACGGGTCAGTTCGGTTTGATTTGGTTCTATGCTATTGGGTCAATTGAACTGATCTGGTTGGATTGGGAAGTTGGTCATCCAAAACCGATTGATTAATGATGAAAACCCGCCAGTTCAGGTTGATTTTTGGTTTGATTGGTCAGTTCAAAAAAATTAAATTTAAAAGTTAAGTTTAAATTTAAAGAATTGTAATAGTATTATTAAAACGTAAATTAAAAAAACTAAAAATTACAATATAAAATATTTTAAACTAGGAAATATGGGAATTTTCTCACTCTCCCATATTAATATGTGGTCGGGTTAGTTCTGTTTTAGTTGGCTTACAAATGATCAAACCAAAACTGACTTAACCTCTTGGGTTAGCATAAAAACTAAACCGAAACAGACCAAAATAATTAGAAAACTGACTAACTTGGGTCGGATTGAGTCTGATTGGTCTGTTTGGTTGGTTTGATCAGTTTGATGAACAGCCCTAACTACCATGTATGCAGAAAATTAACTTCTGATAATGAATTACCATGAAGTTTACTGGCCAAGCTTCCATTTCCAATAAAGTCAGTTACCAACAGCTTCTCTTCCTTTCTATAATAATAGGCCATAAGAGGAAGTAAGTTAGGGTGTGTTAACGTCCCTAGCCTCTTCATGTACTCTTGAAACTCCTCTCTTTCTATATTGTTCATGTATTTGTACCTCTTCACAACTATGGCCGCCCCATTTGAAAGAACAGCCTTGTAACAAGATCCAAAGCTGCCATTGCCCAAAATTTCAGCTGAGGCTCTAAGCATGTCATTTAACTCAAATTTTTCTCTATCATCCCTCACAAAAGTCAGCTTCGCCGGAGGCTCAACCTTCTTGTTATTATTACCCGAGTAACCTGATGTCCCGCGTTCCATTTTGTCTCCTTCACAAGTCACTGCTCTTGTCTGGTTGTCATTTTCTGGGGCCTTACCCGATCGCGATTCGCCTTGGCGGTGTAGAACAACAAGAACGGCACCAAGGATCACTAAAGCGAGGCCTATGCAGATCAAAATGATGACGGTCTTTGACAAAGGAGACTTCTTGTTCTTGTTGGAGTCGCATGACTTGAGAGGCTTCCCACATAGACCATCGTTGCCTGATGTTAGGAAAAATAAACAAATTATTAATTAGAACAAAATGAGATTAGACATGGGAAATGCAAGAAGATAGATTCATTTGCAGATAGATTGATGGTCTGATCCATTTGATGCTGAGTTTTTGATATTTGGTCTCTTGGTTGGAGAAATTTAGTAGTAAATTTGCTGATCCCTCTGAACATGGAATACATCCTAGCTTGTTGCCCATAAACTCTACCTTAGTGAACCTTAAATTCTTCTAGGTGAATTCATGTGAAGGGTACCATTTGCAAGGGCTTAAGCTTCGGTTGAGTTTCTATTAGCTGATTTGCTTTAAAGAATCAGCTTCAAGTGGGAACCATCAGACATATTTGGTTGAAATATGGTCAATTTGGGCTTGCCTTTAGTTGATCAGACGAAGCTTTATTGAGAAAAGCTTTTTTTTTTCTCTGAAATACAGCTAATTTGGGCTTTTCATGTTTTCTGCCAAACATAAATAATCTGTCCGGATGGGGCTACATTGCAAACCCAGTCCCATTCCAATAAATTTTTATTTATTCATTTATTTATTTTATTCAATTTAATAAATTATTATAAAAACATTAATTTTTTTAAGAAAAACTAGGGCTGAACCAATGGGTTGGGTGTACCAAATGGAGCTAAATTGATTGGACATAATTATAACAGTTATGGTTCCATGATTTTGTCTAAATTAATAATTGGGTTTGCTTTTGTTCTTACCTATCCAAAACTGATTTAGATCCGGAACCGATTATTTTATGGAAGTATATAATTTTTAAACTCTCTTGTAATTTTTATCATGTTTTATGTTTGAAATAATAAATTTGATAGATAGTAAATAAGATAATATTAGTTAAAAAATGTTTAATTTATTAACATAAAAATAATTTAGTAATATTTTAAATTACTATTTGAATATAATCAGGTCTATGATTTTATCCCAATTAAATAATTGGTTCAAGACTGGTTCTATTTAGACCGACTCTTTGACAATCCTAAACCAAATTGGGGCCACTATAGTTTTTTCCTATTTCACCCCTGCGAAGTGGACCCTACTCCACCCGCTAATAATAATAATAATAATAATAATAATAATAATAATAATAATAATAATAATGTGAAGAAGAAGAAAAGAATTATGGATATTACTAGTGGAGAAAATCTTTCTGAAGAAGCGGGGGGGAAGAAAGTGAACTACCTGAAAAACTACTTGAATCCATATTGCTTAAACTGGCTGGAATGGGACCTTGCAAATAATTATTTGATACGTTCAGTAGTTGAAGACCCTTCTGTTGAAAATCGGGTATATTGCCTTCAAACTGGTTTCCATCAAGCCTCAACTCCAAAAGCTTAGACAACCCCAGAAGTGAAGATGGAATCTTACCACTAAAGCTATTATGTGACAAATAAACTTTCTTCAACAATCCCATTCCTGCAAAAGCCCCGTCCGGGATCTCGCCGGAGAACCGGTTGTGGGATAAATACAACGACTTTAGTGCTCTAAGCACTTTTACTTTAGGCATGGGACCATCAAAACTGTTGTTCATGAAACTTAAGCCCCGCAAGTATGGCAAGCCGACAAGGGAATCGACGTCAATTTGGCCTGTTAATCCCATGTTCTCTAGCTTTAATGACCATATTCTGTTTCCTTCCCAGCATTTCACACCAACCCATTTCCCCACGCACGGGTTCGTAGATGAATTCCAATTGGATAGTGCAGCGTCGTTGGCTAGGGACTTCTTAAACTTGAGGAGGATATCTGCATCAGGATCGCCGGAAGATACAATGACAATGCACAGAAGGGTGATAAGGAATGCATTCAGAAGCCAATATGGGTCACCGCCGGCCATGGACGGGGCTGTGCGCGCTGCGTGCGCGCGTTTATTGATGTCCTCAGAAATATTGAGTTTTGGGACCAGGACAAAGAAACTTGAATTGAGGTGGGTTTTGATGAATAAGGTTTCTTGGAAGAGAGAGAAAGAGGTTGAGGACGGATGGGAGTTTGAAGTGCTAAGAATAGGGTGGGGGTGACTTTAGAGGAGTAGTGAGGTTGGATAGGGGCAAATGAAGGGTTGCCAGATTGACGAAGTCTACCTTGTTCATCTCTACAGATGTACCTACGTTTTAGATTAGCTGTTACAAGAGAGATACAAGGCCGGCCTTTGAATTATATTTGGGCAGTTCTTATTAAGAAGAGAAAATGCTAGCTGCTGATTTAGCATTTGCCGTTTAGAAAATATAATATATGTATATATATATATATATACATATGTATATTAACACCTGATAAGAGTCAATTAATATGGGAATTCTCATTCTCTTGGCACGATCATGCAAATTAATGATCTACCAATTTCAATTCAAGCACATATGGCGATCTATCTACTTCTGGGTTTTGTTATTTATTTATTTATTTTTGATATACTCCTTTCTTATCAAATTGTTTATGATATACAAAGATGTTTCAATTTTATATATGATATTTCTCTTTCATACTATACTTGAAACTATGAAATAAGTGTTTGAACTAACTTTGGTTAATTGTTTGTGGTTTGTCATCTATCCACCTTTAATGAATCTAACACTCTAACACTTCCCAAGCCTAAAACTTGCAATCTATACACTCTGAACACAATCAAACTCTACCGCCAATCTCATAACCCTAGTCTTTAATACTACACTGAATTCCACCTAAGAACTCCCTCATTCAACATCTAAATAAACCAAGATTTCAATTTCAGACCCATGATTGGATGATCCAACCTAACCTAGAAGGCATCAAACCATCAGATCTTCCATTTCGCCCATTCGATAAAAGATTTGTTTTATCTGCCACATCACAAAAGTCCCTACATATCTGTAGAGATAATGGGCCAGATGGGCCTTAGTTTCTTTGTTTTTCTTTAAATTATGTTTATGACTTGTTATGGGTTTGTTTTCTCTTTTTTTTTTGTTATCTTTAATGATGAACGCCCTACAAAGGGCACTCGTGTAATTGTCCTAATTTTTTATAACAAAAGGATAAAAGAAATTATTAGGGGCTGAAGAGAGGTTTTGAACTACTCTCTTTTCTTCTTCCTTCATCACTTCTCTCTCTTCAATCTCCTTTTCTCCTATTTCTTTTCTTTTAATTCAGATTATTGCAGGTGTGATTTACAACTTGGTATTATAGCCAAGTTCTTACATTCTTTTCTTTTTCTCTCTTTGCCCATACACAGTTTGTATGGAGAATTGATTGATTGATTAGGGAGCAGCTTATGTACCCCAATTGGGAGGGTTTTTGGAGTTTTTCATCCCTAGTTGAAACCCAAGGTAGGTTCTTGGAGTTTTTCTCGAAAACCCTAGCCAACTGGAGAAAACTAGTTATAGGTCCTACAGACACTTTAAAATTAGTGCTTGGGGATCAAAGGGCAGCCTTTTGATTTTCATTAAGGGAAATTTGAGATGGATAGGGTTCTGGAATCTTTGGTAGGAGCATTTGAACCTTCTCCTCTTCTTCCATTTGGTTGTTTAAAGAGTAGTTTTTTTTTCTTGGGATAGCAATTCTATCTTAGTTGAGATTTATTTTGATCTCCATTTCACTTAATGGAGTAAACTGGAGGAGAAACCAAATACCGACAATTTTCAGGTTTGAACATGGGGGATCAATAAAGAATCTTTTTGGGGTAGTGACCACTGTGAATCTGGATGAGACCAATTATTTAGCTTGGTCTCAATCTATTAAGATACATGTGTGTAGTATAGAGAAATGGGGATGATATCACCGGAAGCAATAAGAAACTGGGGGTGTCCCCACCTATGAGAGGTGGATGTAGGAGAATTACACAATAGTGGGTTGGTTAATGAATTCTATGCAGCCACAGATTAGCCAACACTACTTGTGGATGGAAATTGCAAAGGAGGTGTGGAATAGTGTCACGGAGACCTATTCCCAAAAATTTAATGTTGCTTAGGCTTACAAATTAAAGAATGATGTAAATAATCTAAGACAAGGAAGAAGCCCTTATCTGTTTACTTCTCCATGCTAAAATCTCTTTGGTAGGAGATTTATTTGATGGTGATTGTGGTTTGGGGGTGTATAAAGAATGCTAAAACACATAGAAAACTGGTGGAAAGAAATCAGGTTTTTGAATTCCTTATCGGACTCAACTCGGAGTATGATATTGTGAGAGAATGTTTTGGCGAAGGATGAGGTGACTTTATCTCAGGCTTATGCTATGGTAAGTAGTGAGGAGAGCAGGAGACAGGTTTAGTTTGTAGAGCTACAGATGGATCACTATGCTAATGCCAGGATGAAGCTGAAGGTTGACAGTGGGAAGAAATATGTTGTTTGTGAATATTATAAGAAGGCTAAACATATTAAGGACACCTGTTGGAAACTGCATCCAAAGCTTATACCTACCAGATTCAAGAATGCCAATAGTTGAAAAAGGAATAGAAATGGGAAAGGTGAAAATGCAAATATAGCCACTTCCTCACAGAGTGAACAGGGGCATTAGTGGTAAGAAGTCAGTGGGAGAGCAACTAGCTAGAAACTACCAAGGCTAAGTGTGAGAAGTATGGCTAAATAATTAGTCACCTGGAGCCTATTGCTACAACACCTACTTCATTAGAGACAATTCCCTCTTCATTTGCATATGCCCATTTAGGTATTCGTGCTACTGTAGATCATGCTTTTATCTTAAGTAATCGTACGATCCCTTGGATAATTGATTCTGGTGTTTGTGATCATATGACTAGTGTGTCCCATTTATTTTCAACTTACCAACTTTTTTCTGGTAAAGATAAGATCACCCTTGCTGATGGCTCTCCTGCTCCTATATTTGGCAAGGGAAGCATTAGAGCTTTAGACACCCTCACCTTATCCTCAGCCCTTCACGTTCCTAAACTAAACACTAATTTTCTTTTAGTTAGTAATTTGACAAAATCTTTGAATTGCAGTGTGACATTTTCCCCTTCTTTTTATTTTTTTTTCAGGACATGGACTCTCAGAAGGTGATTGGGAGTGGTCATGAGGCAAATGCGATATACCTATTGGACATGCATGGACAAAGTCAAGAATCACCTCCGAGAGTAGCTTTTGGTTTAAATGTGTTAGAGTCAACTAATCGTATTATTTTATGTCATTATCATTTGGGTCATATTTCTTTTTCTTTGTTGAGTCTTTTGTTTCCAACATTGTTTAAAGAAATTAAGTTGTTAAGTCTACATTGTGAGTCATGCAAGTTGTCAAAGCATTAATTATAGTAACTCTTATAACCACCTATTACCTTGCATGAGTGGTTATAAGTATTTTATTATATTTATTGATGATTTTTCTCATTACACCTACCTTTATCTTATGGATTCTTGTGTAGAAGTACCCAAACTTGTAAAATAGCTTCATGAATTTGTGGTTACCCAATTTGATACCCACATCAATATATTCTGATCAGATAATGTTAAGGAATATTTTGAGAAGGATCTTGTTTCATACTTTGAGAAGTTTGGGGTTATTCATCAAAATTCTTGTGCTCATACTCCAGAATAGAATGGGAAGTAAAGAGAAAGAACTAACATGTTGTTGAAATAGCCAACAACATCCTTTTTGCCTCCTATGTTCCAGTGAGATTTTGGGGTGACGCAGTGATGACAACTACCTACCTTATTAATCACATGTCTTCTCGTTTCTTAGGGTTCAAATCTCTCTTTGTTGCCCTATTTCCTAAGAGTAAATTGTTTCCTATTCCCTTACGTGTCTTCGGGTGCACATGTTATGTTCATGTCTTTAGTTCTCAAAGACATAAGTTTGAACCCAAGGCCTAGAAGTGCATTTTCTTATGGTATGCCTCTATAGAAAAGGGTTATTGTTGTTTTTATCCCACTAGTGGAGCTAGTTTTGTCTCCATGAATGTTACTTTTGCAGAATCACTTCCATTTTATGGTAATCCTTCTGAGGGGGAGCATTTTGTTGAATTGTTTTCTTCACCACTTCCTCTGCCTTTTTTTGTTGAACCTAAGGTTGAGTCTCCTATGGTTCATTCTATTCCACTAGTAGAGCCTTCGTCTCCCAATTCTACCATTCTTGCTTCTCCTCATCCTCTTATTAGTCCTCCAGTTTTCATTATTAAATCCTACTGTTTAGAGGTGGTACCAAAGACAAAGGCTACGGCATGATCAAGTTGTTCCCCCGTCTATAGTTGAGCCTCAAACACTTTCAACCCCTAAAGAGAGGACAAGTTCTTCCCCGCCTGCTTCAGAACCTCCCTTCCCAGACTTAGACCTACCTATTGCTGCGAGAAAAGATAATAAGAAATGTATAACACACTGTATTTCCAAACACATGTCTTATAGCTTGTTATCCCCATCTTATTATTATTTTTTAGCCTTCATTTCTTCTTAACCTATACCCAAGCCAGTTATAGAGGCTTCTTTATCTAAGCCAAAATGGAGAGAGGCTATGAAAACTGAAATAGAAACACTTCATAAAAATCATACCTAGAATATTGTGGATTTGCCCCATGAGAAGGAACCAGTGGGATGTAAGTGGGTGTTCACTTTCAAGTATCATGCTCATGGTACCATTAAGAGGTATAAGGCTTGGCTAGTAGCCAAGGGTAATACTTAGGTATATGGAGTTGATTATATGGAGATTTTCTCACTAGTTGCAAAAATGACCACAATGAGAGTTTTGTTATCCTTGGTAGTGAGTTATGACTGGCCCTTATATCAATTTGATGTGAAGAATGCTTTCTTAAATGAAGATTTGACTGAAGAGGTTTATATGTCACTTCCACTGGGTATGTATTGTAAGTAAATGTAGGGCAAGGTATGCAAGTATTAGACAGTGTATGCCCTTAGCTCCAATCAA